GCACAGCCCGGCCCCGCCACCCCCCGAAGCGTAAATCCCGGCTGGTGATGGCACACAGATAGGGGGACCTCAGGGATCTGTCTGAAGTCCATGAAGGAAAACCGCTATTTCCTAGAGGAAAACCCCCTCGCTCTCAAAGCCTGGAGGAGGCATCCTTCGGCAGCGAGCAGCTATCTGATTCAAAACAGCTGGACCCAACCCACCCCAGCTCTGCGGGCACGGTCAGACCTGCAAGGCAGCTAAGCAAGGGGGACAGACCCCCGGCTCTGCTTCATCGTTGCCAAAAGGCAGCGGTGGGTTTGGGTGCAGGAGTCGCCTCTCGCCTCCAATCAGTCACAGAAAGTACTGAGCCATTTGGCCACGACTGGAGAGCTGAGAGCAGAGTTTGAGGGAGTCAGCTAAAAGAGCTCTGCGGATGCAATACAACAAGTCCCGAGCCATTTGTGCCTCCCTCAGCATCATGGCAGCTTTGACTGGGCATCAATATTTTGGCAGATACAGTGCCAGCCTCGCCTGTGACATTCTTCTTGTATTTGAGACCCCATCTTTGATGGCCTGAAAATCCCTCCCTTTTAATTGGCATGGCCAGTCGTATTGTCCTTGCCTTGGAGGGTTACATTGACCTCTTAAGTGACAAGTTCCTTTCATGATTATATACATGGCTTTAAAATGCAGCCGACTCATTCAGGTTTATCTCTGGAGACCTCAGCAAGGGCTTTGTCCTGAAATGGACAGCTTTGTGACTGGTTTCAGTAAGTCAAGAGCTCTTGTGTTCCTAAGCATTAAAGAGGATTTAAACTTTTCTATATACATATAGGATTAAGTGAACCTCTAGTTCAGTGTCAGATCTTTTTCATTTTTGAAAGAGTTCAATCTCAATCAGACATCTAGGGATTTATTGTCAAGCTTGTCTTAAATAATTCCCACATAGTTGTTATTTTATATAGCTTCAAATAACAGTCTTGTTTCACTCACCTGACTGCACTATGATTTTGGTGTGAGCTAGTGATAGCTGTGATATCATACTCTGCAGGTAAGCAGTTATTCAAACATATCTCAAAACATGATGGAGAGCAACCACATATCTCATAACTGTTTCTGTTTCTAGGTATTCTTGAAATAACTGCTGTTGATGTTGGAATCGTTGCCATCAAGGGCTTGTTCTCGGGCAGGTACCTGGCCATGAACAAAAGGGGCAGACTTTATGCATCAGTAAGTTTTACTTAAGACTGGCGTATGCCTGACATTTCCTATGGGAAAAACAGGTCCAGTGGGGAGCCCTCATTTCTTGTAAATGAACATTTATAGAAAAAAAAAGAGTACTATTATAACAGATTTCTGTCTGGAACTGCTACAGGCAACCAGTCAGTACATTTTTAGAAGTGGAAAGAAGCTGTGTTCTTACTTTCTCATTGTCTGTACAGCCAAAAGCAGAAGAAGGTATTTGGCAAAGGTTTTTCATGTAGCCAGATTTCCGGGTGATTTGGTGCCCTGGTAAAGACCTCAGGAGCCACCCTTCCCAGGGCAGAATGTCCACCTCCATTCAAAATTACCCATATTTATAACTGACCTGGACCTTGGACACTGGCAGAGGGTATGCATGCCAGATAAGGAATATCCAGAAGCAATTGAGCATCTCTGTTACAGCAAAGCAGCTTACTGATGGGAGTTTCTTTGCATTTGTTTGGGCAGTGGAAGAATTTGCAGGTACTAAAAGGCAGAGCTAGAGCAAGGAAAGGAAGTATGCGAAGGTGCAAAAAGATAAAGGTGAAAATAAACACCTTATTATACTCCTTTGACCTAATTTTGTGTCCTGATCTTTGAGGTAAAATCTGGGCTCTCCTGATATTAGTGAGAGTCTTGCCTTTTCAGCCCAGCCAATTTCCCCTCAGTGAATAAATTACTGTAGCTTAGACTTCTTCACAGCCAGGGATATACACTGAGGTGTATTTGTCAGTGTGTATACTATACACATTATCCACCTACTTGAATTTCTTCCGTTGTCTTTGATTACATCCCTAGCAATCTTGTCATCTCTTACTGTGTAACAGCCATACTGGGCAGTTTCTCCAGGAATCCTGTGGCATGGAAAGGGATTTGAAGAGGGTAAAGCATGGCTCTGTGAAATTTGCTTTCTCCAACTAGTCATTATATGTAATTTTGCTGATTTGAACAGCATGATATATCCTCAAGCAACGTGAGCTTTTCCCATGTGAATGCAACTTAGGTAACACAATCATCCCAGTTGTCTCCCTGGTTTAATGTATTTTACTCCACCTTTTCACAAGTGTTGTGATGGTGTTTACCACCCAGCTTCTGTAACGTGTCTCATGTGACACACACTGATTAAAAGGCCTGTGTGCAAAGATGTTCCTGGCTGGTGCAGAGAAGCAGATCACAGTTTAGGTAAAGGAAAATGCAGCTGAAGTGGAAGTAAGACATTCTAGCTCTGCTGTGCCAGAACTAGGGCTGGCCACTTCTATACCTCTGGCTAATATTCTGATTAAAATGGGCATCTTCTTCACTGGAGCTCCTCCACCAGCTCAGAGCCATCATCTGCCCAAAAGATTTTAATGGGAAGGATGAATTTTCAAGTTCTTTCTCTGTCTCTTTCTTGTTCAAAATAGGTATGTTTTTTCTTCCCAATTACTTAAATGGAATTAAAGTAAAACTAAACAAAATTTGAATAAAAAGTCCACTCTCCTAGAGTGGAGAAAAGCCTAAAGTAGGAGAGACCAGTGAGTCCATTTCTTCTGGACTTCCCTTTCTACTGTGACAACCATCAGCCCACCCCAAAGTTTGTTCAGCTATCACATGCCAAGTAATACCAGCCATGAAAGGTTCCTGTACAACTAGAAAAAATGTTTTTTGCTATTTTGGCTCAAGTTCGAGAGAGACTGCTTCAGACTTGTGTTTCAGAGATGGAGGGAGAACCCAGGAAAAGCTCTTCCACTCCAGCTCTTTTCACAGGAGCAGCAAAGGGTGAGGGCTCAGATCTGGAGAAACTTTCTGGCTTTGCTTGCCTAGAAACAAAATGACCAATGACTTTACTGATATTACTGTTCAAGGAACCTGTGCAAGGCCCCTGTTTCAACGGAGCCTTACTTCTCTGGGGATAATCACACAGTGAGCATTTTATGAAATGGTGTTGGAATATCTCTGTTACCCCCTGGTTCACCAGTTTTCCCATGTCAATAAAATGAGTTTGTTGATTCTGCAGAATTCCTTTGTGTCCTCAGCAGACTGGGATAATCCTCTAGGTTTATTCTCTGTGATAAAACCTCTACAAGCAGAATGGGGGCAGACAGCAGGACAAATCTTACCTACATATGGTAGTTGCGTGGGCTCCGGCACCACAGCTTGTGAAATCCTTGTCCTTGCAAGGAAGGGCACTTCCGTTTTACAGCTGTGGAGCTGGGACATGTGGAGTCTTTTAAAGTCTTGTTAAATGCCTATCAGCATTTCTGGTGAGTGAACAGCATTAAAGACATGTTGTTAATGGAGCCTATGGCTTTTCTGGCCCCAGCCTGGCTACCTGTGCCCTTTCCACGTCCTCCTGAGAGGTGATGTGAAATAAAACCTCTGTAAAGACCATGGTAGCAGTTCCCTTCTGGCTTACACATGTTAGATACTGAAGTCTTGATCACACAGGTACAGCCAAGACGATTTTGTAGTTAAGAAAAGATGTACAATGTGGGAGGTCCTTTATTTAAACTGTTCCTACGGCTCCCTGGGAGGAGGAAGATGTTCCTTGCGCCAGGCTTCTGCAGTTTTCTCTCAGCTGAGTACCAGATGAAAAGGGGCAAATCTTGACAGCTCATGTAAAATGTGAGCACCCAGGATGAGTGTGTTCTCCCTTCCAGTTTGTGATAAAGGAGCAGCTGAGCATTTTGGAGGACCACACTGGTGGGCAGGGTGTAGTTTCATTCTGCTGTGCTGAAGCAAGGAAAGAGGCTTCATAAAGATGTCGTTTACTGCTCAAATATCCATAACAAACTGGATGTAATAGACTGCAGGTGTATCTAGCTTCTAAGATACCAATTAATGAGCCACATTTTGCATAAAATTGTAGGATTTTACCTTTTTAATAGATGTCAAAGGTTGATAGGCAGCAATTAAATCATCCATCCGGTTCACAGGCGTATTTAGATCTTTAAGCACAAAAAAATTAAATCTACAGCCGAACAACCAGCAGAGCTATTCAATCCTAATCACATGCCATTTTGGTTTTTGTTTTCAGACTGATTTTTGCCCTCTTTCTGTCTCTGATCCACAAAGAATGCTCACACTGCTGACAAGTGCTGACGCGCTTCTCTTCTGCTCCCTTTTTGTAGCGCCAGTTGCAGTTTTCCTTACTACACATGTTGCTTTCGTTATATTTTTATTTTATATGTCTATATATACAAAATATACTTTTATTACGTTTGCTTTACAGGAAAACTATAATGCAGAGTGTGAGTTTGTGGAGAGGATCCACGAGCTGGGTTACAACACCTACGCCTCCCGCCCCTACCGGAGCGTACCCAGCAGAGGCGGCAGCAGGCGCAAGGCCAGCGCAGAGAGACTCTGGTACGTCTCCATCAACGGCAAGGGGCGACCCAGAAGGGGCTTTAAAACTCGCAGGACACAGAAGTCGTCTCTCTTTCTGCCCAGAGTGTTGGATAACAAAGACCATGAGATGGTCCGACTGCTCCACACGAATGTGAGGTACCGAGAGAGCCTCCTGAAGCCCCTGAGCAAGAACCAGCGGAGAAGGAGAGGACGCTGACAGCAGTGGGGGGACTGGTATGGGGGCTGGAACTGACTGAAAGTCTTCAAAATCTACTAAAAAACTAACAGCTGTGATTGTACAACAGGCATTAACACGGACATTTTTTATACACTGTATAACTGAAAGGCACATCACCTACTTCTAGCTATTGTAGAATTATTACCTGTGGTAAAAGAGATGCGAGATAAACTGAGGCACATTCACATGTAAATTAGTTGGATGTAATAGTTTTGTCAATGACTTTCACATTTTCTTTTCTAAAAAAAAAACAAACCAAAAACCATTTTCATTGCTAGTACTTTCATTCTAACTTGCCATAGGGTATTACCTCAGTGGCCCTGTCCTTCTAGAGCATATGAATATTTTACACTCACCCACTTTGTGTCCACAGAGAAGGTACAGCACTTTCATGGCTCTTTTGGCAGTTCCTCATAAAGTGTTACATTCCTATTTGTATGTAATATAGGAGTTAGAAAACTGGTTTAGTTTTTAGCTTACGTGTATTTATTTTATAATCAGCCAGTATCATACTTCTTTCGAGGCTGTCCAACAAAAGAACTGTAAGCTACTTCCAACATCTCAACAGACCTACACATTACCAGAATTATTCTTGAATTTGTTTAATTGAAAACTCAAGACACTTGACCTTGTCATTCAAATAAATGAATGCTGATAAAGTAGCATTTTGCATTGGCCAAGATTTGGCAAAATATACCTGTTTGCCAACTGATGAGTCCTCTCCTCAAACAGAACCCAAATATGATGTGACAGCTGAGTTTGTGATGTTAGGGAAATTCAGCACTGGGGAGGAGAATCTTTATCAGGTACTGTTGTTTAGTTATGTTTTCTACAGAAAGTCCTAGTTCTAAGTTTAAAATGTTTTAACTCTTTTTGAGGGGAAATAACTGTCATACTGGACACGCAAAAACTAGTGACTCACTAGTTTATGGTTGCTGCTATGTTCTGATTTTCCTTTCTTTTCAAATGCTTGTTATTTTCACATGGCAGTCCTAAACTGAAAGCTGCAGATCCAAATGGGTGTTAGCAATCTTGTGCTTTGGTTTAATTAACATAAAATATGTTTCTATACATTCTTCTGCTCTGATTCTGAAAGTTAACTTTTACAAAAGTGGAGGGAACTCCACATCACAAGTTTCATTTTGAGCAAGGGGTTAAGATTTAAAAATTTCTCTTGACATGTAGGAGAAGATAGAGTAGCACAAAGGTTTAGATGTGCTTGACAAGCACAAACAATGGTCATTTCAAGGGGATTTGGCCATATGCTCTTTGCTTCCTAGAATTAGGCCCTGATACGGCACAGCTGGAGAAAAGAGGAATTGCCCTGAAATAAACATTCAACCTGAATTTAAATATTAAAGTTAAAATAGTACATTAAATATGAAGCAGCCAGGTGCAAATCCCATTCCTGGTCATATTGACACAAAGGTCTTCTTGTGGGCTACCTGCTGAATAACAGTGTGATCATTTAAAACTAGGTAGTGAAAATCTTCCATCATTAAGGGGTGAATTCTGTTTGAGAGAGAAGTAAAATGAGTCCACAGAAAGAGTTTACTAACTAGTTGTGGGTTTAGCACTGGTTATACTCCTATGAAGTGTGATACAGAAAGGTGGCTTCATACCAAAAAATATCCTCCATTCCTTCCACCTTCCTGTCTTTTCTGTAATATTCTAACAAAGAGGGTAACTATGTTTGAATAAGAAAGTCACAATTCTTTGATCTCTGTTTTCCTTTATACTGAAATAATGTGAAAAGACACTTAAATGACACACATGAAATAATCCAATGTGGTGCACACAGAATAGACCTAGGCTTAGAAAAGGGTACAGAAAATCATGAACCGTGTTCCCAAATATTCTTGCTTTTACAAAATAACAAAATACAAAATAGTGATGGGATCTTCACAGAAGTAATGAGTCATGAAAAAGCTGCGCAGAGAAGAAACATAAGAGACTGAAAAAGAAATGGAAGAATTGAGATTTTTGTTTTGTTTACTCCTGTGAACCACACAAAGTCCAAACTACTGCAGGATTCAAGGTGTCTTTTGAAAGCCAGTTGTATCAGTGAAGAAAATTTGGCATCCTGGACATCATGGGTGTTTTGGGGACACATTGTTGAGTTCACCAGCTGCCCTATCTCAGCTCTGTAGTTACTTTCAGGATACTAGTGGGGGCTGAACAATTTGACTGGGCAAGAAAGAGAGGGACATGGGCAGTCTTCATGGCTCTCAAGCTTCAAGAATAAAATGCAAGGTCAGGAAAGTGTCATCAAGCCCAACTGGCAGGGAAAGGTCACCTACAGCTGAAGATTAAGAGAACTGTTTTTCCTTCTTTCTGGGACATGTTTGCTTTGGCCACTTTCAGATGGACTTTACCTCGACTCATATGAAAACCAAGATCTATTTTCATTTCCTTCTCCACTAAAAATTATCATAAGCTTAATGACTAATGACCATGTCAGGTATTTTTGATACAATCTCTACTGTCTGAAGCGGACAATCTCCTGTTCCCTGTGACACAAAGATGGCATCTTCATACCAGCTCCAAGTCCATTTCCCATCATATATTTAGTCCTCACTCCTAGATGTTCTCAAGGGCAGGTGCCTATGCTGACTGCTTTTCTGTCTCTGTTTTTATCAATTTTTTCCTCTCCTTCTACCTCTCTTTTACAGATGGTCAAACTTAATTACAAAACCTTTATTTTGAGCTGCATGGCATGCTTGTTGCAGTATTTTTACCTGCCTTCCCATAGGAAACCACAATGAAGTTTAGCTTAACCCATGAACTATATCCTTCAGCTTCAGTTTTCATCCCAACAAAGTCTAAGACACTAACACTGTAAAAAGGAGGGGGGGAGACAAATTAAAAAACAATTCACTGATTGGACACAATGGCATTTTAACTACTGTAGGTAAGTGATGATTTTCACATCAACCCAAAACAATTTTACTGACATTCTTAGAATTTTTCTTTGCTCAATCTCATTGCAGTGATTCAAAGGAGAGGCTTTAGGATTTGTCTTTTTTTCTCATCTTTTAAGAAATATTAATGTTCTTGTTGAAATACTTTTCATTACAGGTATTCATTACTTCATATTCTTTTAGCAACCTTGAATTCCACAGTTCCCAGATACTGACAGGCTGAAATCCTATTCATGATAATTATCCTGGTTGTATCCTGTATCTCATTTTATTTATTTGGACCAGAACTTTATGGGATACCTTACAAAAGGTAGTAAATTTGAGCTACTGTTATTTTCTTACCTTCTCCTTAGGATTATGAAGTCAAGATGTGTCTCCTTTTTTAAAAGATTCTTGAGTGACTTTATACCTTTCCATCATACAGGCTATTAACAGACTTCCTTTTTTTTTTTTTCTTTATGAGGAAGATGTGAACTTCACCCATTTTGGAGTGTAGAGTTTCTGCAGACTTCATGTACTCCAGAAGTCCATTGGCATCCTTAGATTCATCACAAAACAGAGATCATAGAAAAGGTCATCCAAGGAAGCCAGTCCTGGGAAAGAGCTCGTCTGCTGCAGTCTTTTGGTCATACACCAGGTCAATTTTCAATTGTTTTGTGGTTCAAGGTCCACTTCAGGGTCTGTTCTGTTGCGTTAGCACATTGTGCAGACCCACAGCAACAGGTGTGCAGAGAAAAACCTCTGGTGCCAAGTACAGTGTCCACACTACACACATTTTGGGAGTAGGTGGGAGGGACACTTTGCATGACTTCAAGTCTGGCCCTATGCACAGGAAGCCCTTTGGCAGGTGGAATGCTCTGAGAGGGTCTTTGGGTTGAGTGTCACCAAGAAGAAATCCACTTCATATGCTCAGCTAATGTTGACATAACTCCAACTAGGAGGAGACCATGCTCAAAAGCATGCCCCTGGTTTGAAGCAAACACCAGTAGAGATGCACCCTACATTAGGTCCACTCATTCATACCCTGTGACTGTTTCCTTTTGGAGCAGAGACCACATCTTCAGACCACAACTTCAACCATCTCCATCCTGGGTGGCAAGTCAGTTGCCCTCCAGAAGTCTTGTTCAACCTCAACTTTTCCATGCTTCAGTGATTCAGTTATTAGTTGTAGTTAATTCAAACTGTGTATTAGTTTGCCCTCACTTTTGGATGTTTAGATTCATGCTGTGTGTTTCAGAGTACACTTCCCCATCCCAGTCCCTCAGAATTCTCTCCATTCTCAAACTTCATCTGACATGTTGGTTAGTTTTGGATCAGTTATTCTCTAGCCTGTTTTAACAGTCTGGTGCACTAAGTATCTGTTTTTTCCCTTAAAATCACTTACTGCACATTCAGTGTAGTTGTTCAATTTCCAGGCACAAACAAAAATTGGGCAGCTGGTGTATGTAGTTCCAAAAGCCAACCCCTCAGCTTGCTGTCCTGCACCAGCTCTTTCCCAAACTCCACAATGAACATCCTCTTTTTCTCCTTCACCTCCTCTCCATCATACAAGTCTTTCTGTTGATGCCATTTCTAGCCCTGTATAGAACCATTTACCTGCAGTTCTACACTTTTTAAAAATAAATATTGTTCTGCAGAAATTGTGCAAATTATACAGATATTGTGTTACCTTCCCAGACACTTATATATGACTTTATCTGGACTTGAATGCTGTTTTCTTTCATGGACATGAGGCAGAGAACAGTGCATCAAGGGGTTTTGGCAAACAGTTTTCAGTCACTTGCTTCCAGACACAAGAATTGCAAATAACTAATTTATATCTGTAACAGATTTTTTTTTTTTTTAGTTCTCCTAATCTTTGTTTTATCCCATTGTAGCTCTTGTATTCCAAACTCTTCAAAAATTCACATAAAATATTCTGGTCATTGGTGATTGTGTTTTTACTTTTGTGGTTATCTGTTCACAAAAAGCAAGAGCTGTGTGTGAAATATAAACAGCTACCCCATGTTAAAAAACTAAGTTCCAAAGCATGAATTGCTCCCCAATTTACTCATACAC